GCGTCTGTTTGATAACAATGGAACCGGTAAAGATAGTTTGTAGGAAGACGTCAATCTTCTGTGGAACAGTCTGAGTATGAGACGGCAATCTCTTAGGGTGCTACAAGCTTATATATTTAATGGCTATTCCTTTAGGAAAAATGTACTGATTAGCTGGTAGAGTGTGCAGTATGAAGCATTTGAAAAAAATTCTGTGCAGGTGAAATTTATTACATCCAGCGAAGAAAAGTAAGTAGTCGCCTTTCGCCTGGGACGGAGCTGAAAGTCGATCGCTCGAATTCGGGTTCAATGCTTTGCCACAGAGGAGAAGACGCAGCCAGAACTGAGGGAACGTCGGACTTTACAAAGCCCACAGACAACGGCCCTCTGATACCTCGTGTGACAGAACATCCAACCGGAATTCTGGAGGTCAGCGGTTCGTCTGCGCCTTACGACGAATGCTTCCTAAGGGGATTTGCTGGTTTTGTTGGTAGGTGGCGTTAAATAATGGCGGTCGCTTTTGTAACGAGATAATCATATTATTTACGGATACTGCTGAAAATCTCTAAGTGTTGAATGGAATGGGTAGTAAGGACGTCGGAGTTTAACCGACGGAGACCACCAACCAAAGTCCGCCGAGTTCAGTCGCGAGTATTTTTTTCTATTCTCTCCCCGTGCGTGGGTACTCACATGCACGTCATGTGACCACAAATTAGCCAAGGCTGAAAAAAATACAGATATCGTTTGCACATATGGAATTGTTGACTGAAGCGAAGATGCGTGTTCTCAGACATGACTGAGAAGGCAAGGCGATCACAGGACCCATGGATTTATTGGCCTGACGTTTCGAAAGCAAACAAGCTTCCATCATTGGTGGTGAGTTGCGTACTACACGTCACAGTATTTAGGGGGTTTCCCTTCGTGCTGGCGTGTCACTGACTTGCAGCGTGCTGCACCACGGGGTTGGCGATTGTTGTCATGGTGGCATCGGCTTCTCCTAATCCTTTGTCGGGTGTGAGCAGGTGGGCGGCGTCGGGGTGACCGCGTCCATTGATCTTGTCTGAATTGTCCGCTGTCCGCCCTCCACGTATCTCTCCTTCCTGCCGCGTTCCCGCCTGCCCTTAATCGTGTTGACGGTGGTTGTTATGCCAGTGTTGACGTCGGGCTGGTGTTCCCTGCCACTGCGTACGTTCTCGCCGAGTGCTCGCGTCTGTCTGCGTTGAGACCCCGTAGGCGGTCTCCTGAGTTTACGTTCGGCGCCGATTGTCCCCTGTTTCCGTCTGTTCCTGATGCCTGTCCATGCCCGTCCACGTTCCCGCTTGGTCAGGGTTTGACTACTGCCGTCCCTGGCCTGACGCCTCGTCGGTAGCCCTGCTTATTCAACTCCACTCGTAGGGCTTTGTAGGCAGCCGGCAAAGTTATGCGGCGGTACATCGACGTAGTTGTGGTGTGCCAGGCTTCGAGCGTCTCCCTGACCGTTTGATCGCTCCCTTGGCCCAAGACTTCGGCGTCTTGGATAGCGAAGGCATGGCCAAAATCTGCACAGTGTTCCGCCACCAGCGAGAGTTGATCCATTTTTTGACCGCTCTAGCGTGCTCATCCATGCAGGTCTGCAATCTTTTCCCGGTTTTTCCAACGTAGTTTGCCTCGCAGGAACTACACGTTGACCTTACGATGAACCAGAACGTCTAGGAACGCGATCAAATAGTTGTTCTCTGTCTTCATGGTAAATTGAATATCTGGGTATACAGAGTTCCGTAGCGCATGGAATTGCGAGACCATTTTCCGTTTGAGAACGACGAAAGTTTCGTCCATATACCGCGCCCAAATTTTGGCTTGCATGTTGCGAACACCAACGCCTCCAACATTTGAAGAACAGTTTCGGCGATGAAATCGGACAGCGGTGAGTCCATCGGCGTGCCATTGATTTGCTCGTACACAGTCCCTTCAAAGGTGAAGAAAGTTTGGCGGCATTATTTGAGCAGTTGCACTATGTGTTCCCGCTTAGGGGTATTGTTTGCCTCCGTATATTGGCTGTCGAGAGGGTCGCTGACAGTTTCAACTGCCAAACTCTTTGGGATCGAAGTGAAAAGTCAGGTTACATCGAACGATACCATGGCCTCGTCTGTGTTAATTTCTAGCCCTCTCAGTCTTTCCAGGAAATGAACTGATGAGCGGATCGTCGTACCGAAGACCGAGGTGAGGCAGTTCAGACGTCGGAACATCCATTTGGCCAGGTTAAATGTGGGTGTCCCGCACATTGGATTTGACGGAGTGGACGCGATTAGACGGAGCGGCGCAACTTCTTTGTTTATTTTGGGTAGCCCGTAGAACCCATAGCTCGTGGAATTGTGAACATTCCATGTATGATTAAGTTTTTACAAAAAAGACTGTTTATTTTGCCGGTAACACACAGCAAACCGTCCAAATTCATGCAAATAACCAATTTGCCACATATTCCTGAGAAATCGAAATAAATCAGTGAGGAGTATTCGCTATAAAACTTCACGTAGCGTTAGTGCTCACCGGTTTCTCCCGGCTGAAAGACGAAAACGCACAGACTGCAGCATAGTGGTTAGTTCTTGCTACTCGAGAAGTACAACCAGCCGAGTCACGCAACGCCCGAATAGTAGTTTCAGGCTAATTTAATTTATCAGGCATTGGTGGGAGGAAATTCTGCCAAACGGTCGTCGAAAGGTCACTTTCAGACAAAACACCATAAGAGTCCTGTACCAGTAAAAATGGGCGGACACGGGAATATGAACCGCCCCCATGCTACAGTTGGTTTTGCGTCACATTTCAGGGGAGACATTTATTCCTGTGTCCTGACTTTATTACGAGTCAAAATCTGATGCTTTGTCAGTTGTCTATTAGGCATTTTTGAGCTTAACAGTTGAACTGCGGCTCCACAATTTGAGTTAGCACGTTAAATGCCTCAGATATGGGTCATTTCAGTGCCTGTTGGCCACTTCAGTAACAGGGCTCAGTCATTCCTTAAGTGTATTATCAGTGATGGTCTGTAAATAGTCGATATCCTGCAGTTTACATACTACATATGGTCCCCTGCTTGTGACGTAAATACAAAAACTTAACTTATAAGTAGAATTCAAACTAGTCGTAAAGTTAATTGGCTAACATATGTTTTTTTTGGTAATTCCTCATCAGGCCTGTGCAGTTACAGGAATGAGGAATTACCGAACACATATGTTAGCCAATAGACTTTTCAATCGTAATACGGGAATTTTCGCAGAACCAGTCGCAAATTGTTAGAAGGGAGCAATAAGTAGAATTACTGGCTTTTAGGAGAAGGAAAGTTATGACTAAATTATATGTCATTTCTTTGGTCGGTCTTGTGCAACAACGCACAACCATGTGTGTATACACATTGCGTCCCTTAACCGCCAATCCACCCTTTTCTTGACTTTGTTAAAAAAAACAGGCTATTCACAGGACAACGTCCCTCATTCCTATGTAAAGCCCTACAAGTGTTACGTGAAATATGTGTTAATCGCATTACCAATAGAGGGAGCTACATCGCACCAGTCAATCTAACTGTCAAAAGAAGAGGGGGCGTTCACCGGGAGGGGTTTATTTGAGATCCGACGTTTCGGGTAGTTTATTCGTCTACCCATCTTCAGGGACTGGGAATAAACTACCC